TAACATTTTCTTTCTTCTTGAGAATCATACCCTCCATCAAAATCTCCAAGACAAATGGTTTTCTCTTACTCATAAAATCTTTAACAATGAAATGAGCTACAATAATTTTGACCTATCTTCTCCGGGCTAGATTTGGTTCAAATGGAATGCTGATAATATTTTCTTTCATCAAACCTTTATCTCCAAGCAAGTCATTACTAGGTTTGTTACCAACAACACTCAACCACAATTCCTTATTTATGTGGTATACGCCTCAAATTCCTTTGAGGAGCGCAACATTCTTTGGGATAAGCTTAGGAGTTATTGCTCACCAAACAATTATATGCCTTGGGTTATGCTTGGGGATTTTAATTGCTGTCATTACCCATCTGAGAAATTTGGTGGCAATGACATACATGTTTCTAGATTGGCTCCTTTAAATTCTCTTATTTATGATACGATTCTTGTGGACCTCCCTTCCATGGGCAACCTGTTCACTTGGTTTAATCAACAAGAGGACAACCCTATTCATATCAAGTTGGATTGGGTTCTTACTAATGATGCTTAGACCACTGCCTTCCCCAACTCTTTCTATAATGTGTGCAACAGTCTTGTTTTAGACCATTCACCTCTTCTACTGAAAATGGACATTAATAAGCCTAATGAAAAGATATTTATGTTTAAGAATTTTTGGTGCAAGATTCCTGAGTTCTGAGAGATTCTTATCTCTATTTTTGCCTCACCCTCATAAGGGAACCCTATCATTAGATTATACAAAAAGCTCAAACATCTGAAGGAGGAAATTAAAATAAGAATTGGTAGACTTCTAATCTCATTAAGGCCAAATATGCTAAACTGTCCACCCTACAAAAGCATTATCAATCGCTTATTGATGTGGACATTCTCAATGTGTCTCTTTGCAGGAGCCTAAAGAAAGTTAATAAGGATCCTGCTTACTACAATTCCTTATGGGCTTCTTGGACCATTCAATGATCTAAAGTTAAATGGCTTAAATCTGGGGAGGAGGATCTCAAATTCCTTTATTCCAAATTGCACAAGAGAAAATCACACAATAGAAGCATTCTCCATGCTTCCTTTGGTGATCATGAGCACTCTCAAGCTTCCAATGTGGCTAGTATTGTTGAGCATTTCAAGAACCTTTATAACTCACCTAAATCGAATATTACTAATCTAGATAATATACCGGCTGGTAATTTTCTTAATGATGAAGCCAAGAGCTCTCTTATCCATCTTGTTTCTAATGATGGAATTTTTACGGCCATCTCCTTTGGCTTCACTTCTTCGGCACTTGGACTTGACGGTTCTAACTTTGCTTTCTTCAAGAAAACTTGGGCAATCACTGGGCCTTTGGTTTGTCAAGTAGTCAAATCCTTTTTCTCTAAGTTCTACCTTCCCAATCGAGTCAAAGCAACTGCTATTGCTCGATCTTATTCCTAATAATTTGCATGCTAGTAATATACATGACTTCAGACCTATATCCCTCTGTAATGTTTTCCACAAGATTATTGCCAAAAATATTTCCACTAGAATGAAACCTATCATGCCTATTATTATTCACAACAGTTAGTCTGCTTTCATCTCCAACATGCTTTCTACTGATAATCCAATTCTTGTGGCTGAGATTCTTGGTTTTCTATCCAAGAGGCATAAAGATAAATTTTTCTGTGTAAAACTTGATATTAGGAAGGCTTTTGACACTGTGTCGAGGGATTTTCTTTACTGTAGACTGGTCCAAATGGGTTTCCCTCCCATCTTTATCAACTGGATCAAAGCTTGTATTAAGGACACTTACTTCTCTATTTGCATTGATGGGGGCTTGAAGGTTTCTTCTGCTCTAGCTCTGGCATTCGACAAGGTTGTCCTCTTAGCCCCTATTTATTTTGTATCATCATAGATGCTCTTTCTTGCCTTATCAATGACACTTCCTAGTCCAACTGCTTTGAAGGCATTAAGTATGATACCTTCCACGTTTCCCATCTCTCTTACACGGATGATCTCCTTGTTGGGAAAGTGGATATTGATAATTGTGAATGCCTCATAAGTATTTTGAATCATTTCTCTAGTGTCTGGCTTACATCTCAATCTTCAAAAAAGCTCTCTCCTAATTTCACCCCATGCTTCTAATGCCCCTACCTTTCACTTACACTCCACATCCATAACTGCTCCACCAAAATGACCTACTTGGGTCTTCCTATCTCTATGGGAAGATCCAGGCTCACTGATTTCTCTCCCTTGATTGAAAAAGTTACTAACCTTCTTTATGGCTGGAAAGCAAAATTGCTCTCTTTTGCAGGTAGACTTCAATTCATCAAATACACTATCTATAATCTGGTGGCTTACTGGCTTCGAGGATCTATTATTCCTAAAACCATTATGAAATCTATTGGCAAGGCTTGTTCTAAATTTCTATACCATGGGGGCTCCCAATCCAAACATCTGCACCTCATCTCTTGGAAGAATACTGCTAGACCCATTTCTAGAGGGGGTCTTGGTATTGCGTCTTTACTTGCTCTTAGATATGCTTCTAACTATGGAATGATTCTTAGGATGTATAACCAGGACTCTCCTTTATCATGTTGGCTGAGGTTAAGATACTCTTCTCCTTAAAAATCTTGTCCTCAACTCTGATCTGCCTTTTGGAAGAGTATCTATTCCACTGCTGTTATGTTTAAAAATAATTTCTGCTTCTATGTTGCTACTAACAGTCCTATTTCCATTTGGTGGGATCATTGGTGTTTTAATGAATGCTTCTCTCATAGATTCCCTGAAGTGACTATCAGCCACCTAGGTAACTTAAGTGCTTCTCTAAAGATCTGGATGATTGGTAGTGATTGAACTTTACCTCATGCTCTTTGCCAGAATACAAGAAATGCTATACATACCATTCATATCTCTAATTCATGCTCTAGGCATATCTCTTGGGACAATGATGAAAACACCTCATTCAAAGACTTTTATTCTGAATTATTTACCGCTAAATCGTTAGTAGACTGGTATCATTCGGTGTGGCATAAAAAGAACTCTCTTAGGTTCTCTGTTTATACCTGGTTGGCTTTGTGTGGTGGCCTCAAAACCGCCGAGGCTCTTACTAGGAGAAATATACATATTGAGGATCACTCCTGCTCTCTCTGTCATATCGATCTATAATGAAAATACTACTCATATGTTCTTTGAATGTGATTACTCCTACACTGTCTTAGTTCTCCTCATTCCTTAGTTCAAAAGCTTCCTTTTGAGACCTAACATAGTCCAAGCAGTTCAATAGATAGATGGTCTTACTATGCATTATAAAGTTAAGAATGAGATTCTTCATTTCTTTCATGCGATTATATATTACACTTGGAATGAACGGAACAATAGGAAGTTTAATGGTAGAGCTGTTTGTGTTGTGTCTTTATCCAAGAAGATCTCTAGAGCTTTCTATCTTAAACTTGAGAGTTGGAAATATGGGAATTTCATAAAAGAACATTTACAGCTGAGATACACCTGACTGTTTAGTCTCTGTTTTTGCTGCTACACCGATGGAATTGCTGGAGTTTTTCTCATTTTTGATGTTTGGTGCTGAATGTTATGTGTATTTTTCCTGGACCGATAGTGATTGGGTTTGTTGGTGGCATTTGTTTGCTGCCCAACCTGCCTTTCATATGCCGTTTACTTTGGTTACTGTTGTTATTTCTTGGCTCGTGCTTTGGCTGACTGTTTTCCTGGAAGTTCACTATTCTACGTCTGGCCAAATTCCTCTTTGTCAGATTAAGTTATGCTGGGTTGCAAACTGGAAGGCTTCTTTGCCAGGAGAATTTTACCTTTTCTTTTTTGGATGGTCCCTGGGTGTTAAGGTTTGTTGGTGGCATCATTTTGCTGGCCAAACCCTTTTTCGGATGCACGATTCCTTCTATGGCACGCTATACATTGGCTCGGTCGCTCGCTTTTAATCTAGCTTGCTATTTTTTTGGGTCGTGGACGATGATGACGCCTGCTTACTCCTTTTGGACGGTCTTCGGGCAACCAAAGGAGAGTCTGACTGCTATTCATGATCGCCTTGGCAAGTTCTGAGTCCCGACTAGACAAAATTTCTGTCTGTTTTTGCTCTTTCCCTTTTGTTATATTTATAACTTGTTGCTTTTTGTCTTAGCCTCTTTTTTATTGGCTAAGTTAGTTGTTTTTCTTTGTAATCCATAGTTCTTTTAATAGAATAGGCTAAGTCCTCAATTTAAAAAAAAAAAAAGCGCATAAAAAAATACGCATATATATATATATATATATATACAATTCGTACGAAGTATGTCCCTGTTGGGTGTCATCATGATGTACTCCTTTGCACGTTTTACATTATGAAATCTTAAAATTTATTTATGTTGACTGTAATTTTTATTAAATGGATCATGAAATTATTATAGAGAAAACAAAATTTTTAATTAATTGTAAAAAATAATTTTTTAGTATAAAAATTTAAAAGAAGTGAAAATATGATAGTAAAATAAAAATCATGATTATAATTAAAAAAAGTAAAATAATAAAAAAGTTATTTCAAAATATTAATTTTGGCTATTATTAAATAATGTTTCTCAGTGTAAAATATACTTCAACATTTATGATTTATTTTATTTATATTTTATTATGAACTTATAGTTTTAACTTAAATAAATTTATCTCTTAAAAAAAACAAAATCTAATTCTTCATTTCACTTATTTTCTATTTCATCATATATATATATATCCAAATAATTGAAAGTTGAGTATCAATAATTTCTACACATATATATGTGAGATGCAGTTAGCTATAAGAAATCAAACACATGATACAAAGTAGATAAAAATCACGAGTTTGATTAGATTAATTTTATCTTTTAATATATTTGTTTCATTTTCAAGAGTTATAGTCTGATAAAATATATCATGCATGAGCTTATCTCTAATATCTCTTGCTGGTCTTCATATGGCTCTCTAGTCTCTCTCCACTATAAATAGAAATCCCATACCAACCCATTAAAACCAAGCAAGCAAACTTTCTACTTAATTAATCATGGCTTTCTTCTCCATGATCAAGGCCCTTCTCCTTTGCAATACTTCTCTCTCACTCCTTCTCACCACCCCTGCCTCAGGCAAGGGCTTCAACTACTTGCTCAGTGGTGACCGCCTCAACGCAGGCGAAGCCCTCGAAGTGGGTGACTACAAGTTTATTATCGAAAATGATTGCAACCTCTCCTTCTACAACTTTGGGACAGAGAAATGGTCTTCGAACACCAAAGGTCTTGGTAAAGATTGCTACCTCACCTTAAATAGAATCGGCGAACTCAATATTATTAACAAAAAAGGTATTATCATATGGAAGACAGGAACTAAAGGGAAAGATGGAAACTATATCCTCATACTACAAAGGAACCATGAAGTTGCTATATACGGTCCAAGCGTTTGGTCTAATGACAATAATAACTATGAATCTGACGATGTTGTCGTTGCCACTGCACTTAATGGGACAATAGGAGTTTCAAGCCAAGAGCAGAATAACGTGAGGGAAATGGGGAAAATAATGGAGGTTATGAGTGATGCATAGTCTGGGTTTTATATTTATGCGTATTAATGAATAATGAATAAGACATGCATGCGTGTGAGTGCTGGATGAATGGGTTTATTATCTCAAGCATGTTTTTAATTTCCTTGTTCTGTGTGTGTTCTTATCGTTGAAATAAAATGGAAGTTTGTCCTTGCATGTCTTGTAAGCTTTTAATGGAGTTGTTGTAGAAACTGCTTATCTAATATATTAATTTCCCCCCTTCTAATGGTTTGAACTTTAAAAAATAAATGATAAATTATTTAGTTTCATCATGGATGTAGTTTGATATTAATTGTAACTTTTAACATCTAATTTATTGATTTGTGAACATCAACTTTTTTACTTTATTGATTTATGTTCCTGGTTCTGCTGCAGATTATATTAATTTGTTCTCCTGTGAAGTTAAAAAATGAATATTTTATTAAATTAGTCTTCGTTGTAGTTTGAAATTTATAGTAACTTCAAATGTTTAAAGTAAGTGAAATTAAATTAACTATTTTTTAAAACAAAAATTTTATCCACAGAAAGCCATATGACACTTACGAGTGTCTTACATATTTAGGGTTTCTTCGGGGTGAGTTGATAAAGCTCTTCTTTAAAAAAATTATTATTTTTTTTGAAAGCTACAATGAGTATCGATCATATGTAAATTTCTCATGAAAAATTGGGGAACAACTTTCTCACGGTTAGCACATTCTAGTAGAGATGGTTCTCAAAAATAATTTCTCCCAACAAAAATGTCCAAAAAAGGGGGAAAAAAAAAAGAAAGTAATTTGTGGTAGCTGTTCGAAAAACAAAAAATTTAAAAATTTTCTTAAAAAAGGACCCTTTACTTGTTTAGAAAAATTCTCATCTACGTTACTAGATAATTTTTTATGACTTAATTAAGCAAAAATATCATAAAATATTTTAATCAAATTTTTATAAGGGGATTTTAAAATCTTTGAATTTGAATTAAGATAAGTGAAAATCCAATGACTTTATAATCCATCAAAATAAAAATTTAATCATATATATTATTCTGATTCAAAAATTTTTTTTTTTTTTTTAATTTCAAGAAAGTTAGCAACAGGAAAATTTTTATAAGAAACAAGTTTACCATTTTAGAACGGTTTAAAAAATTTTACATATAATGACATAAGAAATTAATAAAAAATTTGTTCAAAATATCTCCATCAAATTCTAGTTAGTATGTATTTTAAAACTGTTATGCATGTTTTTAAATTATTAAAATAATTGAAGATTTAATTAAAAATTATGTTACAATTAACTTAAAATAAATCCAATTAATATATTCATATTTTGGAGGAGATGAACACATCTAATTTTGGAGGAGATGAACACATCCCTTAGATACATATAGTTCGTTTTCAGTCTTGTCATTGGAATATAAATAGGGCATTAGTTGTGATTTGGGTGTGGTTTATTCCTCAAACCCGTGTGGTGAGATCTGTAGCAAGAAAGATAAATGCTTTTCTGTTTTTGATTGTGTGTGGTTTATTCCTCAAATCCATGTGGTGAAATCCATATAAAGATAAATGCATGAGCACATCCCCTCACAAGCCAGTCAACAATGCTAAGAAGAGAAACATCGACCCACCAAATAAACACATCAGACCCAACAGGAATAAAAGACCACAACCCGAAGTGCCAGCAGCCAACACAGGCCCAGAAAACCTAAACAACCCAAGAACAACACAAGGCCCGAAACCAAAGCACCCAAAGGGCTATCAGCTTCACCAACCTGAGGTTCCAACTGAGCATAATTGACATAAAAATACATAATAATATCCTCACCACCTCAGCATTGTTAAGCTACAGGTTTATATTTGAATAAATGTTTTATAAATAATTAACCTTGGCCTATTACAACATGACATGTGTACCTATTCCATCTCACTGTATCTTTATATAGTGTACTCGGTCTGTAACAAAGGATCAATGAAATCAATACAATTTATCTTTCCTTTACTGTTTGTCTTCTTCCCCTGCTCTGTAAGTTAGATTTCTTCATGGTATCAAGAGACAGTCGGTCTTGACGTTCTTGCCATGGCAAGTCAGGCTTCCGCCACTTCGACAACCGGTGCCACCACCAGAGATGCGTCGTCTGCTCCGTTCATATCTCCTTCTCTGAAATTTGTAATTTCGAATCTCAAGTTTCTTGTTCCTCACTCTCTCTCACCCGATAACTTCCCTATCTGGAGCACACAAATAGCAAAGCTTCTAAAGGCAAACGGATTCGCAGCATTTCTTGATCCAAAATCGACGCAAGAAAATGCCGATCCAAATCAAGATGCGCAAAGCTGGCAGGTCACGGACCAGAATCTTGCAACTGCGCTGTGCTCTACCATTTCACCTGAAGTTCTGCCCTACGTGATTCATCTCGAATCTACACACGAGATCTGGCAGACTCTTCAAACAAGATTTCAATCTTCTAACAGATCAAAGGTCATTCAGCTCAAAAATGAGCTTCACAATGTCTCTATGCAAACAATGTCAATGACTCAATATCTTACAGAAATCAAGAAGATAGTTGATAAGATTTCGGCGGCAGGTTCATCAGTGGATCCCGAAGACGTTATCATTTACATCCTGAATGGCTTACCTCCGGCGTACCTGTCGTTTGCAACCACTATCCGCACAATGCAAAATTCTCTATCCCTCGACAATGTGTATTCACTTCTTATAAGTGAAGAAATTCACCTCAAGTCTGCTGCACTTAAGTTCCCGAAAATGGCAGACAATCAATCCGCGCTCTTTTCATTTCGTGGACGGGGTAAACGTGGCCGAGGACGATCGGCTCCAGACACTTCTCAGACCAACAAATCGGTGCAGAATGCTAGTATTACATGCCAAATATGTAAAAAGAAAGGGCATGGCGCAGACGCGTGCTGGCATCAACTTAACGTCAATTACGTTCCGAATCAGCCCTCGTCCAAACCCAACAACGCTTTTCTTGCGAACAACGACAGCAATCAGACGGTCGATTGGTACATCGACTCAGGCGCTTCGTCGCACATGACCAATCAAGTGGATAATCTGGAAAGCTACAACACGTACAAAGGGCATGATACGGTAACAATCGGGGATGGAAGGTCGGTCCCAATTGCTCATATGGGAACTGGACTACTTCCTACCACGGCCAGTAAGCTCCTTCTCTCACAAATTCTTCATATTCCCTCGTTATCGTATAACCTGTTATCTATTTCAAATCTTGTCAAAGACAATCCTATTTCTATAAAATTTGAGGAAAATGGCTTTGTCTTTAAGGATCGGACGACCAAGCAAGTCATCCTCAAAGGTCCATGTAGCAATGGAATGTACAAAATCGGAACTCAGAGACAACAACAACCATCCCAGGCTCTTCTCGTGTCCAAAACGTCGTCTCTCGACTGGCAACGTCGTCTAGGACACCCTCATCACAGCGTTCTTCAGCAAATTTCTAAAACTAATCCAACTTTACATATTCAGTATGTTAAAACTGTGTGTACTTCTTGCCTATCTTGTAAAGGCCACAAACTCTCGTTTGATCGGTCCTCTAATAAAACTACTATTCCTCTTGAACTCATCCATTCTGATGTATGGGGACCTTCACCGATTCCCTCACATCAAGGATTCAAATATTACGTAATTTTCGTTGATGATTTTTCTCGGTATATATGGCTATTTTTGTTAATGCATAAATTTGAGGTTACTAACATTTTCATTCAGTTTGTCCACTTCATTGAACGTCAAACAAAATATAAAGTACAAACGGTAAGAATTGATGGAGGAGGCGAATTTGTAAATCACCATTTTCAATCGTTTACAAAGTCTACAGGAATCAAGCATCAAATATCTTGTCCCTATACTCCCGAACAAAACGGCACGGCAGAACGTAAGCATCGCCATAAAATAACAACGACGAGAACGCTTCTGCAAACAGCTGGGTTAACTATGAATTATTGGTTAGATGCTGCGTGCACGGCCACTTATCTTATCAATCAGCTCCCCTCCGTTACTACCGAAAATATATCGCCATTACAACGAATGTTCCAAATTAAACCTTCTTATCAACACCTAAGAACATTTGGATGTGAATGTTACCCATTATCACCTCCCATTCACCGGACAAAGCTCACGCCAACCTCTCAACCGTGCATTTTTTTGGGGTACTCAGAGGTTTCAAAAGGATACAAATGCTTGAACATGGTAACAAACAATATCTCTATTTCTAGACATGTTAAATTCATCAAAAATGTGTTTCCTTGCAAGAACAGGTCCAGCCACGAATCGGTGCCTAAATACAATACTCTGCCTCATCTGCTGGTCCCTGCGTCCACCTTAAACACAACTCATCCATCATCATCGGTGCATCACAACTCTCAACCACCCAGAGAGACTGTATCACAGGCCAACACTCCAAGTTCTATTTGTTTGAATAGTTGCTATTTGAATGAGTTATATTTATGCAACTTATGTAGTTTTGATGATTCCAAACCTCCAACGGCCACGCATCAAATGATCACTAGAAGAAAAACTGGAAATCTCAAACCAGTTCAAAGAATGAATCTGTTGCATCAAGATCTACCTCATACTGATCCTACAACTTATAACGAGGCCTGCAAGAAGTTCAAATGGCGTAAGGCAATGACGGAGGAGTTTTTCGCATTACAAAAACAGGGTACCTGGACACTTGTACCACCACCTATCAACAGATCTATTCTCGGATCAAAATGGACTTATAGAACGAAGTACAACTCAGATGGCTCGATAGCCCTCTTCAAAGCACGACTCGTTGCTCAAGGCAATCAACAGGAATACGGCCTTGATTATCAAGACACATTCAGTCCAGTAGCAAAGCTACCAACCGTAAGAATCCTATTTACGGTTGCTCTGTATCACCAATGGACCATCCGACAACTTGACGTGGCAAACGCGTTCTTACACGGAGACATCAATGACACAGTTTACATGCGACAACCCAAAGGATTTGAAGACTCGTCAAATCCAAACTACGTCTGCTGCCTTAAGAAGGCCATATACGGTTTGCGTCAAGCACCACGCCAATGGTATACTACTTTTACTAATTATCTCATTCAAATTGGTTTTTCTCATAGTCAAGCAGATCCTTCCCTGCTGATCCTTCAACGGCGTCACGTTCAAATCTACCTACTCGTCTATGTCGACGATATACTTCTAACGGGAAACGATACCACTGCAATGAACGAGTTAGTAGCACAAATGAAATCAAGATTTACGATGAACGATCT